TTTTTTTTTTTTTTTTTTTTAAAAAAAAAAAAAAAAAAAAAAAAAAAAAAAAAAATGTTATTTCACTTGTATTATCCATCGTAAGTAACAAAAAACTTTCAATTTATTTTTTGTGTATTTAACAACTTATTTTATTTAGACAATTACATTTTTTATGCAATTCGAAAGTTGATTGAGCAGATATTTAAATTTGTACTAAATAAAATGCGCTAATATTTATTAATTTGTATTTTTTTTTACGATCCATGCCCTTCACATTTGTGAGTTCATTTCTATCGTTTGCTTTCCGGTTGGGATTAATCTTTTTACTTTTAACCTTTCAAAACATCGCAGAAAGAAAGGCAAGACTGTTAAGGCAACATCCAGTTTCTAGTAGAGCCGACTAAAACAAAAGAACAAATTAATTGCTAAAATATATACATACATACATACATATATAGAGAATAAATTTGTATACAATTGAGAGCGCTCAAGCAGATTGTTGGCCCAACTCGAAACGCTTTATTTGGCGATCTGTCTCGTGTGAGGCCAATTGAATTGTGGGCGTGGCCTGGATGGGCCCATTGGGGCTGCACAGGTGCTTGCTTGACACCTGTGCGCGGCGTGTATTCAAATTAATAATGCCAAATTGATTGCATAACATTTGTCAATGGAAGGAAATCTGGTTTTCGGCCGAGTCTAGCACGGGCTTAGCCCATCCGTCAGCTGCACCGCACCGCGCCATGATTGAATATGATTGATTTAGGCGGCATAAATTATGAACAGGCCAGGCCAGGCCAGGCCCTCGCAGGTATTCTTGATGCGGCTCCATTCAGCCGCCCCCGGGCCTTCAGCGCGACCTTGGGCATTTGACAAATGAGCTGCGTAAGCCGTAAGATTTGCACAAGACGCACAATTAAATGACTGCCAGGCGGCAAATTGACATTGGCTGGGCCCCACAAAGGACCTGGGCCAGCTGTGTCGGCCACCGTTTCAGTGGCATCGCATTGCGTCTCAATCCACCCAAATGAGTAATGTCAATTGCAGGTCAATTATTGGAAATCGACAAAATACTTGCGAAAAAACTTGGCCAATCGCAATTTGACAATTTCAATCGGATTGCCAATTGGCCCGGACGTGAGCCACATTCAAATTGTTCGCATTTCAAGCAGTTGCCGCAGTGCCAACGGGCCACTGGGCATGTTTACCCCGATTTAACTGAAATTACTATCCCAGGTATATTGCCTCGACTATGGTTTCGATCTAATGAGAGTCTCGACTCGAGTTTACTCGACTGAATCCGTCTAATCTGATTTATTTAAATATATATAATATATTATAAATGCGAATTCTATAAGGAATCTTACAAAATATATAAATGAACATATATCGATATTTCAAGATTAGTTATCGTAGGTACATGCAAAATTTATAAATCATTCAAATAAGTATATTATGAATGTGCGTTAAAGAATCTTTAAACATATATCGATATTTGAAGAATCTATGGATCAGCATTTATCGAATCTATCGATAAGCATTTATCAATTCCTTATTGATACCACATTCACATCAAATGATTTCCTAGAAGTTCGTAATATATAATATAGTAACCATCTTACTAACAATTTTTCTGATCTCACCCATTGTCAATTTACATGCTATCGATAATATTTCTTGCAGATTAAGCACACCCATTATTACAATCAAATATACGAAATTCTGTACAAGAACATTTATCAAAAGCCAAATTAAAAACTTATCGATTACATGGTACAGCTTTTAAAAATTGTTATCGATAGCAATTCTACATAGCTATGCATAGTTAACATCGTATCATCCAAGCATACATAAATATATTTTACCAATATGAATGGGATTTAAGCCAAATTTAATAATTACCAACGATAAATAATGAGTAGATGGGCAACTTTAAGTTGTGTCAGATAATGAACTAATTTGCTTAAGCGGCTTACGCAAAAACGGGCATTAAGTTAAGCTCTCTTTCGTTTTTAAAGCATTTCAAATCATTTAAGCGCGTTTTTTCCACATATTAATTTTATAAAGAACTTTTTCAGCTTTTGTTTGCTTTTGTGCGCTGACATTTCAGACTGAAATTTTAGCCAGAAAAAGTTTGCTGGGAAAAAAAGCGACAAATTTAGCAAATTCTATATCCACATTTAGTGTATTTATTTAGGCATTAATTTTTTTTCTTTTGAACAGATATTTGTATAGAAAAAATAAAGAATAACAAAAAGCAAACTTTGTCTTTTGGGCCGACGGAAATTAAATATAATGAAAATGAACAAATCTATTTACAAGCCTACATATTTTTCGTATCCTACAGACTTCCGCTCGTACTTAAATTAAAAACGGAGCTGAATGGCCAGAAACCAGAAGTCGCGACTGACCGACTGAGCAATACCCTGAAGTCTATGTAGTGCGCGATAATTGGACTAAGTATCGTCTTAAAAGCTCGATAGCTGCAATATATAATTTATATAATTGTAGTTTGTTATCGATTTTTATCGATTTCATGAAAACTATCAGAGCAATGTATGCATTTTAATGGGAAGTTTTTCAGCGTTTTCAGCTGAATCTATTTAAATTTGATAACTAATAACTATTTTTATCGATTACATGAAAATGATCGGTTGAGAGGAAGCTATCAAATTTTATTACAGAGATAAACAGCTTATATATTTTCAGCAGTTATCGATATGTAATAACTGATTACTAAAAACTGAGATATGTATAAATTATAAAACTCAAGCTATCGAATTTTATTGACGCATGGAAAAGCCGCACCAAGCATGAATTCATCTGATTCCGATGAAGTATATTTATGATTGTTAATATCGCATGAAACCTCCTACATTTCAATTTGAAAATTCATTAACACCTGTGTTTACATTTTTTTTTTATTATTAATTTATATCTTTTAGTTTTTTATATTTTAACTTATGTTTTCTATAAATTATTTTATCCATATTGAGCGCGGCATCAATGGAACTTTATATAAATTAATTGAATTGTAATTAGCATGTTACACATATCTCCACACAGCGATACGAATCGTATTTACAAGCCCCGTTTTTGGAAATGTGGAAAATAAAAACAAACGCCTTCGTTCATCGACAAATCGCTGGCATGTAGGCATTAGCATATGCTGATAATCTAGTATACACCTGACCATAATCGGCTGCTCTGTAATTAATAATGCGCATCGAAATATATGTATGTATGTTTATATAGCCAAGCAATCAAAGAAATGTCTTAACTATACGGTTAACGAAATCAAATTAAATTACGACTCACCAATAAATTAATAAAACGAGACGAAATTTTGGCAATTTCTGTTGGTATGCAAGACTGCTGGATACCCTGTAATAGTTGAAGCTTGTTAATGGAACTGTAATATATGCAGATAATTTTAGATACAATTTTATAATATTTAAAAACAAACTGTTTCTTCTATATAGTTATCTCTATTCCGTTCCTTCTTTTCCGTTTCCTTGGCTGTCTATATATGTATATATGTATCTCTGTCTAAATGCCTCTCTATCTCCGTCTCGCTCGCTCGCTCTCTCTCTCTCCGTCTCGTTTCATCTCTCTCCATCTCTCTCTCTCTCTCTCTGTAAGTCGTTTTCACCTTCTCTCTATCCCTCTCTCTTTCTCCCTCTCTCTCTCTCTCTCTCTCTCTCTCATACATATATATATTTATCTGTATTTATCTTTCTATATATCCATCACTCTCTCTTTTCTCCTTCTCCCAATCTCTTTCTCTTG